TCGGGAATCGCCCGCCTCCCGCCCCGCCCGCCGCCGCCCCAGTCACCTCGCTCTGCGGCCACCCGGCACCAGGAGCGGCACCAGGAGCAGCCCCAGGCGGCGGCGCGACGGTCCCCGCCATGTCTGCAGCCATGAGGCAGAGGTTCGACCAGTTCCTTCACCAGAAGAACTGCATGACTGACCTCTTGGCCAAGCTCGAGGCCAAGACCGGCGTGAACCGGAGCTACATGGCCCTTGGTGAGTGTGGGGCTGCGGCCCGCGGGATCCCGCCGCTTGCCCGGCCCAGGAACGGCTGTCGCATCGCAGCTGGGACCACGGGCTCGGTGACAGACGGGGGTGAGTGGCGTCGTCGGGGACAGAAGTGGCCGCCTGGACAGGCCAGGGACCAGAGACCTCGCCCGGGGCGGCCCGGTGGCAGGGCGCCCGGGACGTGGGGCCGGGGACCGGCCGGCGCTGACGTGTCTGCCCTGCGGCCCAGTGTCGCGTGCCTGTGGCCGAGCGCAGAGCTGGCGCCGAGTGGCGGGGCCCCTGCTGGAGGGAGCGCGGTCCCCGTGGCGGAGTACCGGGTCCTAGCCAGACCCTTCGCGGAATTGGGCGCGGGACGCGAGGGGCTGCGGGCAGGCGCCGGAATCCCGGCCTGCCCAGACCCTCCGGGAAGGAAGCGGGGCCCCTGCAGCTGGTGCGCAGCGTGGCGTGGGGCCCCTTGTGGGAGGGACGGGGGAAGGAAGGGCACAAAGGTGCGGCCTGCCGTTATCCCCAGACGAAAGGCAAAGCCCCGAGAAGGCGCGGGCCCAGCCTCGGTGCGGTTTCTTTTTCTCCAGTGTCTAGAACGGGCCAAGCTTTGCGGTGTTGGCGGGGGCTGCCCGGCTGGAGCGCCTGTGTGCCACCCGACCCACTTCCCTCCTCGTGTCTGCAGGTGTCATCGGGCTGGTGGCTTTGTACCTGGTGTTCGGTTATGGAGCCTCTCTCCTCTGCAACCTGATAGGATTTGGTTACCCAGCCTACGTCTCGTAAGTGGCTCCCCCTGCAACCGTCCCTTCCTCCTCTTCACTCCCCTTCCCCCATCCAGAGCTGTGCTAGTTGCTGTACCATCCCCATTTCCCTGGGAGAGTGGTCAGAGGACCAAAGAGTAGTAACTGATTGCTTAAGGTTACATATTTTAGTGCTTTACCTTGATACCTGATCTCCCGATGACTAGCCGAAATGTATATTTCATCAGGTTAAACGGCGGATTGTATGCCTTCTAACAGCAGCACAAATGAAAGGCAGAGCAAAGTCGACCTTTACTGGTGGGAAGATCTCAACGGGTACAGAGAGCCGATTCCTTCTCCCTAATAATTATTTCAGTGTGTATTTCACCTTATATTTATGTACACAGTAAATCCCTATCAATTAGAGCTTCTTTAATTCAGAAGTAATGTTAATTCAGACACTGGGGAGAATTTTGTCTTCTTTATATTAAAAGGCTCGCCACTTATTACAGGCAAACGGGAAACACTTACCCTAGTATAAAAACAAAAACAAACCTTATAAAATGCATCCCTAATATATCTCCTTGGTTATATAAATGACCCATTTATATAATTAATCTAAATTGCAGGTGAATCTTATCAGATTACGATCTGACTTTTCTGCTAGCTGAGGCTGTTTTTACTCTGTGTTTAATTTGAAAATATACTACAATTTCATTTTTCCATTCATTCAATAGGAATTATGCTTCCCCACAAATAAATTTTGTTTTATTCTACAGTTCTTCCCAAGAAAGCTGGTGGGTTTTACTTCTATTGGTCTGTACAACTTTCCTCAACGACAGGGATTAAAAAAAAGGAAGAAAAAATTTCAGCTGGAAGGCTAAGACACCAATAACACATTATTACGACTGTGTCTGTCATAGGCCAGGCTAGAATTTAATATATGACTAGAAAGGGGAAATGTGTTTTAGAAAAAGTTCTGACTTGAAAAATTAAATCGAAATTACATAAGTAGTAATTACTGAATTAGTCTGGTACAGACACTTAGTGGCTCCAGAAAATCTAGCTACATATAGGACACTACTTGCTTTTGAATTTGGAGATCCTCTCCAGTATTATCTGCTAAAGTACCATCCACACTGTTTGTGTATACCAAACGATTCTGAAGACAGACCAGAAAAACTGGTTTGACTTTCAGATCAATGAAAAAGTTATAAGAATAGCAGTGCTCCATAAAATAATAGATGGTGTAGATAGAAAGTTTGTAGGCAACACTGGTTCAAAATGGCTTGCACATCACTGTGTCTGTGATAATGGACAAAATAACCAGGTAGAACATTCCTTTACTTTTCTTCTGTTTGTATATTCTACTTGTAAGAGTTCTTTTAGTAAGAAAGATTTTGAAGCATTTTTCAAGTTTGTGCTTTAGATGTTATTGATCACATTTAGTAACTGCCTAGCTGCTTGAATTGTTTTGAACTAGGGAAGACTGTGGATCTTTAAAAATACTGAAGAACATAAAAAACATTTTTTCCACATCAGTACTATTTGGTGAGTAATCTTGTGAGAAACATAACCTTGTCTGTTGGTGTGATTAGATGATTGATATGGGCTTTAGAAAAGTAAAAATCTGTTTCTGGGTGGGATATGTAGATCCATGTATGTGGAAGTGGGTGTGACTGAAGGCAGACAGGGCTTGGACATGATTTTCTTTGACCTAGTGGATTAATTCTAGCAGGAGCCACTTTGTTTGTCTGTTTTTAAATTAATTTTTATTAGAGTATAGTTGCTTTACAATGTTGTGTTAGTTTCTGCTGTGCAGCAAACTGAATCAGTTATACGTATACATATACCCACTCTTCTTAGATGTCCTTCCCATTTAGGTCACCATAGAGCATTGAGTAGAGTTCCCTGTCCTATTCAGTAGGCTCTCATTAGTTATCTATTTTACACGTAGTAGTGTCTGTATGTCAATCCCAGTCTCCCAGTCCATCCCCCCCTTGCCCTTCCCCCCTTGGTAACCATAAGTTTGTTCTCTACATGTGACTCTCTTTCTAGCAGGAGCCATTTTTAAAGTCATATTTTATTTTGTTTTTTTTTTTTTTTTTTTGG